GAAATGTGTCAGAATTATCACAGAGAGGCTGGCATAGCGTCTGGGCTGCATTAATTTATCTTGGAGGTCTTTAATGTCTCCAGAACAGTAGTTCACGCAGACCACATGCTTTTTCTGAAACACTGAGCAATTTCCCAGGAGACCTTGTTTTGCTCCACAGTACCACAAACTGTTTTAGGCAGCTTGACATAGACTGAGTTTTATCAGTGGTCTAATTTCTCTAGGATTTATATTCTCCTTAATGCCAGCATGGGTATTTGTCCTTGGGATAAATTGCACATAGGTGGAATTTTTAATAAAAAAAAATTCGTTAGGATTATGAATGGCACTGTGGTTAAAATTGCAGTGATAATACATATTTTAAAGCTAATCAGTAACATGTACAATATTATCAAATTCTTTTCTCACTCTCCCTGCATCCCTAACTTGAAAGAGGAACAAATTCAATTTAATCTTTTAAGAAGCTTGGCAGAAGGTATATAAACTGAAAGACAACAAGACAAATAATTTAGAATTGATAAAAGAGAAGAGAGTCTTGAAAAAAATCCCAGAGGTTGGTTTTGAAAGGGATGCAACTTATACTAGGGGAAATCTAGCAGCCCCTAGTAAGCTAGACTCCCACTGATTCTGGCCACAGGTCTGAAGGATAAACAATAATCTCATTTTTCCTGACATGAACGACCCTTTGGGTGCACTAGTTTTGCAGCTTAGCACAAGAAAATTAATGCTGCAATGCAAGTTCTTCAGACTCATGCAAATGAAATTCATTTAATTGAGTCCCCTTTTTAACAATCCTGTAACTGTTTTAATGTGCCATAAAACATTCATTTGCAAAATAAAGAGTAGCAGAATGGTTCTTAGGGCTTAGATGCAGAAGAGAGAGCAGTTCCCCTCATACCTTCTCAGAGGGAAGAGGAAAAGGGCAGAGGTGTAAGAGGAAAGCAAGTGTTGAGGCAGGATTACACCAGGGATCTTGTTTGAAGGGACCAACAAAAGGGTGGCTGCTCCTTTTTTAATCACAGAATGACAGAATATTTTGAGTTGGAAGTGACACACAAGAATCACCAAATGCAGCTCTTAAGAGAATGGTCCATACAGGGATCAAACCCACAACCCTGGTGTGATTATCACCGTGCTCCAACAAACTCAGTAATCTCAGAGAAACTGAGCTAATCTTCCAGTCAGTGTGTGAGGAGAGGAATTGTGACAGGCAGTATGGTAAGATCAAGCCAGTGACTGTATCTGCGTATTTTATGGCAAAAGAATTGTTAGCGGTACACTGTATGAATGCTGAATGCACTAAGATTACAGTACAGGCATTTCTTTCATTCTGTTGAGTACTTACACTCTAAGCTTTGCTCAGAGTCATTTTCATAAACAACTGTATAAGGTTGGAAAATTACATTTACAACAGAAAATCAGCAAACCCTATGTCAAAACAATAAAATGACACAGCTGTATAAAAATGCTTTGTTATCTATTTGAACAGCTAAGAGTGCCTCAAACCTGCAGATTTCCTTAGTACAATACCCTCGGCTCTGCTTAACATGAGAGGGTAGAAGAGAATCACCATCAGATCACTAAATACATCAGTTTATCCTCAAGGCAATACTGTAACATTCATGCATATGATGAGAGTGATTTCTTAGTAGCAACTGGACAGCAATGAAGTTTGAAAATTTGTACTGAAATTTGAGCAATAATAATTCTTAATAATTCTTTAGTGTTAATATTATTTGACCACAATATCTACAATCAAAATTAGAGACAGAGTGAGTTTCTAGAAATAACTAAGGCTATTAAAAATGTTATACTGTTATTTGTAAGAGATAGAAATTGTTTGTTAACAAAATGAAGAAAAATGTTGCCAGCACCTTAATTATTACAGCACATTACTTGGAGCTCGCATTGCTTATAGTCATAATTTAATGTTTTCAAGAAAAGTGGTTTGCTTTGTTTTAATTTATTTATTTAGTTTTTCATACTGCTACAGCACAGGTAGTTTTAATTCTAAATTTTCTTCTTTATTTTTTCAAAAACAAACTTTTAAATGGGATGTGCGCAACAAGTGAGGTCCAAAATGCTACCAGTTAGGTTCTGTGGTTCATCTTTTCAGAGTAATGACTTTGGATATATTTTATTTTAACTCCAGTAACTTCATGCGTTTTGCTCTTCGGGTGGGTGCATGCTTCTGGCCATTCTTTTAATTAAGTAAGAATATTTCCTAAAGACAGGAGGGCCCCATAGAGAAAGAAATGGGAAACTGGTAGGATTTGAATATATTTATGTGAGTGCTGTGATTTGAAACTTGAAAAAATGTGCAAGTCAATGGGAATCTTTTATTATTACTTTACCTTCCTGACTAAACATTCGTTAGACCTGAATGCAGTGGTTAGAGCTGGGAAATACTGAATATCTCCAGACAAGATGGAAGACAGCTCAACAATGTCAAAGGTGCGCTCCATTTTTGCAGATGGTCTAAAGATGTATGAGGAAAACACACTCATTTAGGCACAGGTGGTACTTGTACTGGAAAAAGATAGCAGCAACAACAAAAACAAGGAAATCAACAAAAACTAGCAAACAAAGCCCCAAAAACCCCGCTACCACTGCCAGCAAAAAACCCCAAAAAACCAGAAAACAACACAAAAAACCAAAAAACGTAAATAATACTCCCCTTCCCACCAAAAAAAACACCACAATCAAACATAAAGATACAAAATAGATCCATAGGAAAAACTTCTGCTGTTCAACTGGTAGACAGTGCACTAAAGTTCTGCTGTTATGTCAAAGAGCAGAAGGCACACATTGCCTTCCCACTAACCAGGGCAAGGTGGCAACAATCTAGCTTTGAACAGGTTCCTGTTCAAAGTGGTCTGAAATCCATTATCATCTAGGGAAGATACAGCACACAAAGGGAAATTCTCCTCAGTTATATGACTGGGACAAGTAATTTCAGCAGTCTCATTTGTGCTGTTCTTTCCCATTCCTTCCACTCACACAAAGAGATCCATGACTATTTAAACTGCAAAAGGGAATCATAGAACGGTTTAGTTTGGAAAAGACCTCTGAGGTCATCAACCATTAACCCAGCACTGCCAAATCCACCAACTAAACCATGCCCTTAAGCACAACATCTGTATAGATTAAATACCTACAGGGGTAGTGAATAATCTGCTTCCTGGGGCAGCCTGTTGCTGTGCTTGACAATTCTTTCCATTAAAATTTTTTCCCAATATTCAACCTAAACATACAGCCAATAATGTAAATCAATGTCTTACAGCATGCTTTCAAAGCATCTAGTATAATATGTTGCCAGGTCCTACAAAAGCCCATTATTCACCACAAAAATAGAAACAGGTAATGGTAAAGGCTGATTGTGACAAAACACTATTGGAGATTCACTCAAACACAAGTTAAAAAAAAAAAAGCTGCATCTAAACTACATCTTGTATGTCTGCTACAGCAATTTGAATATTTTGCTGTTTAGAGGGACTCAGAAACAAAGTACTCCAGCACTCCATCTGGCCTCCATCCAAAGAGGATGCCTATTCAATGCAGGATGATATTTTGAAGCTTGAGTTTTTCTGTGCCTCCTAAAATAATTCATTCTTTGGGCAACCTATATTGCTTTTCACTAAGATGCTAATATCTTTTGGATTTTGAATAAATAAATTTGAATCTGAATAAATTTTGAATGCTGTATTAGACAACAAGATAACCAGATGATCAGGCTGCACATTTGGATACATTTATCTAATCTGTTTTCCTCTCATTTGCCTCTTCTTTTTATACTTATTGTAATCTATTCTCCCTCTTGTTTGTTTTTTGTTTTTATTTTTCCTATCCTTATACCTAACTTAAAGTGCTTGGAAAACAAAAACGGTACTGAATCCATGTCATGTAAAGACAATAAGTAAACAGAATATATAGCACTTTTATGTTCACCTTTACAAGCTCACCTGCTGCTGTGTGCACACTTACAGAATTTGGTAATGAGGTTTCTATTAACCTCTTGTAGTATCCAGAAGTTCAGTATAATTTTGCCAGTATTCCCTGTGATATTTGCAAAGAACACTTTAAATTACCTAGAGCCTCCCACAATGGGAACTCCTTTAAAAATTGAGCTCCTCTGTCTGGAGTAATATTTTTCAAAAATGAATGTATATTAGAGAAAAATTATTTCATGGAACTTGAGGCAACATATTTTTTCTAGTTAAAATAAATCACAATAAATCAATCAAAGCTTTATGAAAATAAAGTCCATTAAAGCAAGCACTCTGTAGTTAACAGTCCCATAAAAGAGAGTTTCGGGTTTTCATAATAAAAGAATAGAAATGTAAACATGAGAGCACATAATTAATTCTCTTGCTTCTCTTCTCCCATCAGAGAGCAATGCCAGAGTTGACTGAAAGAGAATTTTTGAAGTAGCTGGGAGTGACTTTAAAAAACAATCAAACAAAAATTAAGGTCAAAAAAGATAATAATAAAAAAACACTAGAGGAATAAACATGGTATTTTTGTTTTAATGCTTTGCTTATTTTCTACAAAAAAAAAATTTTAATATTAATATTTTATTTAATTAGCAAAATCTCAGTCATCTGCATATCTCTTATGCATGCACATCTAGTAAAATCTGTCTATGAATTCACTAGAATTAACTGTTTTGACCAGGTCAAACTATTTAATAACACTGTTTTTTTCTCTCAGTATTGATACATTTCTATTATTTACATAGCTATCTTGTAATTCATCAATATGGCAAAGCCAAGCTCTGAGGTAAAACTGCCCCTGGTGTGTTTTAATAAATAACAACATGCTAAAATCTTTTTTCTTTACCTCTTTTTTGGCTGCACTTTCATTCTTCCCTCCCTATCATGATGACTAGGAACATACTTAGGTAAAAACCTGGGGAAATTATCTACCTTGGATAATTGGCATCATGGATCACAGTCTTTTCAGACCTCTGGGACCTAGAGGACAGGATTCATCTCACCTACCATAAGCAGTTGGAAGGTAGGCAAACAGTTGACTTTCTCAGCAAGGTTCCCTCCATAGTCTGTGAGAGTAAAGGAATCCAGATGAGGTTGCTTAGCAACTTGAATTTTCTTCAAATAGCTATCTTAAAATGGGATGAATTTTCCTCTGGAGACCTCCTTCTCCTTCCACTGATTATCCACGAAATAACTTCAAGTGGCTGTCTAACTTCTGGACCAGAGAAAGAGGTGGAATTAATTTCATCTCAAGATCCAATTACAGCACAATCAGAGTTCTGGTTGTGCTCCAAGGACTGTAGTGGAAGAAAACTCGAATATTGCAGCACAGAAGGTGAAGAATTTAATCTAGATAACCTCAAGTAAAAAGAATATATATTTCCCAAACTGGGGAAGCACAATGGCATGCTCTGAGAAGATTATGCATTTTTGCACTGTTTTACAGTCATAAAAGGAGAGCAATCCAGAGGAGGTTTGGGAATTCTCTGCACTGACAAAGATCATTGTTAATAGACTTATTTATCCCAATTTAAAAAGAATGAAAGCCAATTTATTCTGTTTTGGTTTCATTCTTTACCTTGTTGTATCAAGGGGCAAAACATCATCTGACAGTGTTTTGTTTCATTTTAAAGAAAGGTACTGCTTCTGCTTTTTACTGTGTTTGAAACCAGCCTCTTCCTCAATGTTAGAAGCAAACAACTCTCCTCCCCTGATTTTCAGTAGCTTTTCGCAGCTGTCAAATGTCACACAATCTGAGCAAAGAATTTAGGCATGAAGTTTATGAAGAAATGACAGTTAAATAGTTAGCAGTTTGTCTTAATCAATTTCTGAATGCACATACAAAGCTCCTAAGGACTCTAGCTATAGAATTAAGGATGGAAATTTCATGTGGAGCTAAAATGCTTTCTAACTGCTCCTTAGCAAGTCACAAATATTGCAGCATTTATTTTCAGAAATTTTCACTCTGTCTATGGTTAGAAGGTGACGTTTACACTGCAGAGCATTTGACTTGTGTCTCTTCTGAACCACAAGCATTTCTACAGTTGTCCTGAAATGGTTGGGTGGAGTTATTTATTTTGTGTGTGTGTGGGTGGGTGTGGGTGTACACCTGCACAAGGGCTGGGAGCACTTTTGGATCAATGTGTGATGAGGGATTTGCTGTGGCAAATCTCATCACTAGAGACATGTTTCTCTAACAAGAAAGGTAAAGTGGTTTATGTCTGTCCATGTAAATGACAGAGATTCTAAAAGGCATTTCATGCTTTGCTCATACACTTCTTTGTAGGTTTAGTCTTCTCTTCTGTAAGCAGTGCACATGGAGGTCCACTTTGTGCTGCAATGTATGCTCCTTTGTACTGCCCAGGAGAATTTCATATTTTTATCAATATTTAGAAAGCCTCATCTTTTTAATATTTAGAGGTGAGGGGATTTTTTTTTGTTGAAATTGGACCTAGGTTATCCAAATCAAATTATTGCCTTGGCTTTATTTCTTGTACCAAAAGAATATATTACTTCCTTATTTCATCTCTGCAGATTAAGCTAATTTGTTTTACAAGAACACTTTGAGAAATTGTATTGCTGTTGCAATTAAGTGGTTAATTACTGTAGAAATGCCAATAAATTTTCCATTCAATGTGATTTTTCAAATTTCTGCTAAATGAGAAGTCTTATCCCCAAGCATGACAGTTTCAAAGTATTTGCAGAATAAGACACAAACAATATCTAGATCAGGTCAATCAAAGCAAAGTTAATAATTTTGAAAGATTTAATTTCAGGCAGAAATCCTGTGATCACAGTTTTGCCTTCAAAGCATGGATAAAGAAAATGAAATAAAAAGCAACCAAGATTTGTCAATACTTTCAGTGAAAGAGCATTTCCAAGAAAAAAAATTGTATTAAAGACTGTGACCAGGATTACTTACCCATGCAAAAATTCATTATATAAGACTGAAAAATAATTTTCTAAGTCAGTTTATAAAAGAATTGTGACTGGAAATTCAGCTTGACACTCATTCTTTCATGTACACAGCTTTTTTTTCACTTTCTCTTCATGTATTTGTACCTTCCATCTAATACTTGTCAATTTTATTTTAGTATACTGCATTTTACTTTTTGTGCATGTAATGAATCATTCTTCTATGGTCATTTTGGCAGATTGATAGAAAATCTGAACAGTTCAATTTTTATACATAGTTAGATTGGGTTTATGTACTTTCAAAATCTTCACCAGCTTTAAACTGATTGAATGTTTGGAGAACATGAGGGCTTTGCTGCTATAAAATGTGGTCTGGTGTTTTACAACTTCTGTTCAGCAGAACCTAACCCAGATTTATCTAATTTTAATATTTCAAAACAGCATTTAGGCAGACTGAGGAAAAAAAAGCAAGATAGGAGTGATCAATACCATTGATTTATAGATGATAAAAAAAAAAAAAAGAAAAAATAAATTTGAAACTATTAGGTATTTATATGAATTTTTTTAATGTATTTAACCTACAAAATCAAAGCAACTGTCAAGGTAACTAATTCTTGGATCTTGACTTACTGAGATAAACAAAGTTTCTCATGGAAATAAATGGACAAGAGGTTCATGTATGTAAATACGTATCTGCATGGCAAATAAATAATTTAGTGCCACATATCTAAATAAATTATTGGGTTTTTAAAAAGCTGGGGGAAAAAAATCACATTTCAAGATTTAATTTACCTTAAAATGCTGTAAAGAGAAAATACTTATTAGGCTATAAAACTGATTACTGCACACGTTCTTAACTAAAGCTTTTACTACTGTATTTCTCAAATCAGAAGTACAAGTGACCCTGGAGATATCACAGCCAAACCCAATGATCTGTGTGACACAGATTGCTTTATACATATGTTTTTACTTCATTGTTTTTAAAAACAGCTCAGAGTTTAACGATGTCTACTTGTTTTTATCTTGTTTTGGTCTTGATATGGGTTCCTTCCCACTTTCATGCCTTCCCTCCTCTCATGTCTTTTTTGGGAACTTGGAGTCATATACAGAAATATAACTCCACTTCAAACAAGACAGAGTGGCTGTTCCTTGCATAATTTTATCAAAGGAAGAGGCTCAATTACGGGAAATAGAAGATTTCTTATTCTCTCTTATGTTCTATCCTTTGGATAGTATATACATAGGCTGGGGGCAGCCAAAATCTCATGCTGATTTAGCAATAGTTGGGAGGAAATTGTTAAAAGCAGAAGAATGGTGAGGAGGAGGAGGATATAGATTCTCTCAGGTGCAACTGGGAATGCCAAGGCCTAGAGAATAACAGTGTGGGAAACCTCACATATTACGCCTACTGCTGTTTGTCCTCTGCCTGTTTTGAGAAGAATCCCAGTGTGGAGATGATGTAGGTGTTTTGAGAGACTCAAAGGCATTCTCACAGACATGTTTGAGCTCCTTGTCTTGGGAGAAAGAAACCCAAAGCTAAAGAGGTTTCAGGATGTTGGTAAACCACACATGCACAGGCCCTTCATAAGTGTGTGCAAACAACAGGCTTACTGCTCACTAGGATGAGCTGAGCCCGATGGTGGCTGTGTTCTGACTTGGATGTCACCATCCAGGTGATTTAGATCATCTAGTTAGGGAGTAAAGAAATAAATTTACTCTGTGTTTCAGCCGTGATTTTGTGGTTGTTCCAGCTGCCTGCCTGTGTTGACTCACACAGTAATGTTCCAGCAATCTTTCTAAGTCATACACTTGATCATATTTTTTAACAAATGGATCATTTAAAGACTTTCAAAGAAAAATAGAAGAAAGCTGGGAGAAAAGCTGGAAAAGAAGATAATAGCATTCTTCTGAATAGATTGACTAAGTAAAAATACAGATTTTTTTATGACTAGTTTTTAAACAAGTGGTAGTCATTCAATCCAGTTTCTTTATGTTTCATAATCTTAAAGTCTCTGGTGAAAATTAGCAAAGCTGACGTTACAAAATTTTTGGCATTGTTCTTGTGAATCTCTGGAAGCCTTTATTTATCTATATGTTTCTTGATTGCACTATTCTGTTCATCACTGTTCTTTTTTGTCGTCACACAGTCTCTTATTTGAGAAAGATTAAATACATATTTAAGATTTATGACAAAGGAAAAAACTCATATTGAAGTGGCATAATTAAGAGAAGCTTTTACTACTAAACTGCAGGCCAAGTTTTCCTTACAGATCCTAGGACATGTGGGAACAGAGATTTGTGAAAATTCAGGTCTGCTCTGGCTTTTCAGAAGTATTGGAAGAGATGAAATAGCAGGCCCACCAGCAGACCTAGACGTCATATTCTGACTAAATATAGATGGAAAAACCTAGGGATAAAAATAGATCATTACTCTCACCTTCTGAAGTTTTATTTGCACTTAGTTCTGCTTAAACAAGTTAAGTGTAAATATGTCAGGAAAAGAAAAACTGATGGGAAAAAGTGATTGAACTCAGGATGATTTAACATGGCAACCAGCCCAACTCCGTGTGCTCTTCTGAGTGATCTTAACCTCTGTGAAACAAGGAAATGTTTAGAATTTCAATGAAGATTAGGTATGTAATCACTGCTTCCTGCTTCCCATGGATGCTAGCAGACAAATCTTTGTGAAGGTAAAGAAAGAAAGATGAATAGCGGTGAAAAGAGAAGAGGCCTGATTCCAAGAGACTTCATAAAACATAAAACTGAAGTAGAGCCTGTGTTGCAATAGAAGTGTTCCTGCCTTTTCCTTTTGGTGCACTTTCTGCTTTTCCATCTTTTTCCACTGCCCACTCTTTTTCAGAACAAGAATTTTGTATTCCTCCCCGATATGGAGTAGCCTTCTGTGTGTCAGAGCACAGCCTTAGATTTCCACCCATCTCTCCCTATTTGCTGTCACACCTACGCTTTTTCCTTTTTGGCCTACTTTTGATGTATATTCCACTTACAGTGTATATTGCAAAACTTTTTATCCCCATCATGCAACACTATTTGCATTAGAACTGCTCCTTTTTTTCTGTAAATGTATAGCACATAATTTCAATAGTTCCTCCCTATAGTGGCTACAGTGCTGCATTTAAAACACAAAAATAAATAGCTATGAGAGAGCAGGCCTTATGCTGTCTAATAAAGTTGTTTGTTTTACTACAAACTTGTAGATGGCATCAACATCAAATGGAGCCATTTCCATTTATCTGAGTGTCCTATGACTGGTATTGAGCAGACATATGCTTACCTTTACACAAGGGCCAGCTCCCCAGATGCCAC